CCTCGGCTTGGGGCTGAAGCGCCGCGAGATGCCAACCTGTAGTTTTTTGTGTGTCGCAGTGACCCGTTGTTTTCCGCCCAGCGCTTGCCGCCCCACGGTTACCCCTTGGAACACCCCTTTAATAAAGACGGCTATCGGTACATCTTGGCGGAGCCCGACCCCCACGCACCTGACCCGGAAAAATTGGAGTTAGACTGCTGGGCGGGAAAGCCGATTCCTGGGGATCTCTACAGAGCCTGCCTTTACGAACGAGTCCTCCTGGCGCTGCACGACCGAGGTAGGGAGCTTCCCGATCTAGCCGGCTCCTCGGGGGGGCTCTCTTTAACCTCACTTCCCCGGTTGGCGAAGCCTCAGCGGAATTAAGAGGTGCAAAGGTTGAATCCGCGCCGGCGCCTTCGCTTGCCTTCCGACCCCGCCACGCGTGGGAGACGGCAAACGAGCCGCCCGTATGGCCTCCTCTCGCCCGCTGCAGCTCCCCAGTTAAAGATTTCCGACGACAGGCTGACTGTGATCGGCGAGAAGGGCTATTCCATGGTACGAGCCTCGCACGGCGTGCGGAAAGGAGCGTGGTACTTCGAAATATCCATGGATGAGATGCCTCCAGACACGGCTGCCAGATTAGGCTGGTCACAGCCCTTAGGTAACTCGTTTTACCAAATACTCGTAGCAGTAGATTCCACCTGGTTCCTGTATTTCTTTCCCTGGTATTTTAGCCCTAAGGAGGGTCAGTCACGCTCAGCCTGCGCGCTGCTTCTCCCCTGTGCCTAAGGGGAAGCGTTCTGCGGGTGATTTAAACGGCAAACCGGGTGGATCTTGGTGCTGTTGCGTGCTTGGCCTTGCTTAACACCGTAGCCAGCCCGTTTGGGGGTCATGTCTGTTCCCTGTGTGTGATTCCTCTTCCAAAACTTGGAGCGGGACACGGAGCTGCTCCTGCTGGACCCTCTGTGTTCACGAAGCAGCGTTGGTTTCCACAGGGAATCTCCAGGCGCCTCTGGGGTATGACAAGTTCAGTTATTCCTGGCGCAGCAAAAAGGGAACGAAGTTTCACCAGTCGATAGGGAAACACTATTCCTCTGGCTACGGGCAGGGTGACACGCTGGGGTTCTACATCAGCCTTCCCGAAGACACCGAGACTGCCAAATCGCTGCCCGACACTTACAAAGACAAGGTGAGGGGTGGAGGTCGCTGTCGGGTGAAGCGTCGCCTGGGTGGACGGGGAAAACGGGTTGCTCCGGCCTCACTTTTGCCCCTTTCGTGTGCATCTACCTCGGGATGCACGGAGCGATCCGCAGCCTTGGTCTCGAGAAGTATGGGGGGGACTTTTCCCAAGGGCAGGGAGTGACAGGACAAGGGGGGACTGGATTAAATGGAAAGAGGAAGATGGAGATGGGACATTGGGAAGGAGTTCTTCCCGGAGAGGGTGGGAGCACTGGGACAGGTTGCCCAGAGAAGCTGTGGATGCCCCATCCCTGGAGGGTGCAGAGAGGGGAGGGGTTGATCTCCCAAGTGACAAGCGATGGGACAAGAGGAATCAGCCCCAGGTTGTGCCAGGGGAGGGTTAGTTGGATATTAGGGAAATTCCATCACGGAAAGGGCTGTCAGGCATTGGAATGGGCTGCGCAGGGAGGGGAGGGAGTCGCCATCCCAGGAGGGATTGAGGAGCCGTGTGGAGGAGGTGCTCAGGGACATGGGTTAGGGTAGATCTGGCAGTGCTGGGCTAATGGTTGGTCTTAAGGGTCTCTCCAACCCACACAGTCCTGTGACTCTGTGACTGCTGCCCCCATCTCCCCGCATCCTCTTTCCTCCTGGTTCTCGAGGGCTGCTGCTGCAGCTCTGCGCCTGGGCCGCTGAAGGCGGCGGTTTCTCTGCTTCACTCCCGCGGTGGTTGTTCTCCGTTCCAGGCTTTGATCAAATTCAAAAGCTACTTGTACTTTGAGGAGAAGGACTTTGTGGACAAAGCAGAGAAGAGCCTAAAGCAAGCGCCCGGCAGCCAGGTCAGTGACACGTCGGTCGGTGGGGGATGCCGAGCTGCTGTAGGCGTTCAGTGAGCACGGAACGAGGCTGATCAGGAGTTTTTCATCAAAACCAAGACCGCTTTTATTAAAGTAGCAGTAAATGGGGGTTTAGGAGAGCGAGCGCGCCCTTCGCTGACGACGTTATTGCTGCCGCGGGGTCAGAGGGGGGGTCGGGGGAGGCGCCGC